GGCCTGGTTACCGATCCAAGCTCGGACCGGTCTGGGCCTGGATCGGTTTTTCAAGGGTAGTGTAAATGGGGCTATTGGGTACTATGCCAGCGAATGCTTAGACCCAGAATTTTTTGCCAGTGGGAAGGGAGCCAAAGGCCTATTGTTAGCTGGTCAACCCATGTTTGAAAAATATGCCTAAATGCAGTATTTTCAAGCCGGTTTCTGATCCCTGGTTTGGTTTGATCATAGCAGATTTATTTTAAGGATATATCACAGATGCTGTTAAAAATACTTCCTTAAACAGGCTGTTAGTTATGTAAATCAGAACAGAAGCAAAGCCTGAATACTGAGTGAGAGAGCAAGCATGGTAAAGAAGGGTTTAATAAACTCAAAACAGGCAAAATGATGTGCAGTTAAAGTTGTCCTTAGTAATGACATTAGCAGTTAGCATGGTTTGCTTTGTTAGGGTTGATATGACCTTCAGTCTCCTTGGTGTATCCTTGAAGGATGAAGACACAAAGGTGTTTTAAATCTGGACCTAGAGGAAAGTCTTGCTTTTGTTTTAGAAGCCAGATTTAAAGCTACATGACTTTAAACATTTACCTTTTCTGCTCCCTCTCAGCCAATTCAGTTTTGTTGCATATAGTATAAATGCTTAATTGTCCCCAAGTGGCATATTTTTCCATTCAACAAATGAACGTAGGAACGGTTCATTTGTTGAATGGAAATTTCTGACTGGCTGAAAAATCCTCCTATTTGAGTCAACAGGGGGTTTCTTTGTGTATCTCAGAAAGCACTGCTTTGAATTTTAATTCTTGAACAGCCATTAGAGTTTCTAAAAAAAAAAATAAAATGAATGAATTGTACTTTGAATAGAATTTTGAACAGAAGATTTTTATCGCAACAAATGTTAGTACAGAAAAAGGTGAGATATCACTTTGTACACTGTAGGGTAGATTTCCCAAACATCTCCCTCCGCTCTCAATCGGCTCCTCTGTTGAAGATCAAAGCTGTATTTATAGTGCGTTATTTCATCCCTCTTCTTGTTATGCTTTTACTCTTTTGAGAAGTTGTCTGTCACTAATTTTAGAAGCAGTTTGTAATTTGTTCTGCTTTTTGCAGAGATTTGAAGCCAGAAAACATCCTTCTGGATGATCGTGGTATGTGTTTTTTTTTTTTTCTTTAGTTCCTACCTAATTGATTTTCAGTACAGAATGTGCTTCTTCTTGTCCTTCATTTTTCATTTTTGAAATTTTGCCTACAATGTCCAAATCAAACAAGCTGCACAGTGTAGCTCCCTGTTTTCATTGGCTGCAGAGGCACTGTTTTAAGCTTGCTTAACTCTCCCCTTTCAGTCATTCCTACATCTTCATTAATTTACTCACATCCATCTTGATGTAAGAAAATATCCACCTTTCTTTCAACCTTATTTTCCCACAACATATTTCATGCCTGATTGGAACCTGAGCGCGTGCATGTTTCTGCAGAAATTATGATCCGTTTCTGTTGAATTCCTGCCATTGAAATGATTCACATGGGATAATGGCTTTATTGCTTTTGCTCAGGGCACATTCGGATCTCCGATTTGGGCCTTGCTGTTCAAATCCCTGAGGGGGAGACGATACGAGGGAGAGTGGGCACAGTTGGATACATGGGTAAGATCACCTCCTTTCATCTCTTCTCTCCTTTGTTTTTAGACATTCTGTGAATCACACCTTGAAATAATCTTTACTGCTGGTCCACTCTTTAGCTCCTGAGGTGATCCAGAACGAGAGCTACAACTTCAGCCCAGACTGGTGGGGACTGGGCTGTCTGATTTTTGAGATGATCCAGGGCCAGTCGCCCTTCCGGAGACGCAAGGAGCGGGTCAAGCGGGAGGAGGTGGACAGACGAGTGCGCGAGGACCAGGAGGAGTACTCGGATAAGTTCTCGGAGCAGGCGAAGGACATCTGCAGGCAGGTGAGGATGAAGAAACGGAAAGGTTGTGAGAATAGGACAGAAGTAAGGCACCGGTAGCAGCCAGAGAGCTAAAAAAACTGAATGATCTCAAGAGGGGGGGAGAGCTGACATATCAACTTTATGAATATTTACTTTGCAAAAATCCCTTTTTTCTTTTAGGAGAAATGAAGTGGTGCTAAAGTTTGCATAAATTACTGACCAAACTCTATTATACAAAAATAAAAAATAAAAAAATCACTTTAACAGTCAGAGACAAAGGGCTGTTTACTGTTGCTATTTTTTTCTTTGACTTTATATGGTTGTGTTATTTAACAATTTTTAAGAGGGAGCCATTCAGCCTGTGTTTCTATGAGCGGTGGGGCTAATGGGACATTTTTTAACATAGTGGAACATTTTGACCCATGGTTCAGCATTTTTAAAGTCTCCCCAGTGAGAGAAGTTAGACAGGCAGAGGGGAGAAAGGTCTCGAACAAGAAATGGGTAGAAGGTAAATATGGAAAAGGAGAGGGAGGGGTACCAGACGCCACATGGATCGGGACTTCTGCACTCAGAGATAGAGGAATCAGCTGAGGAGGCTAGAGCAGTGCTCCCCAACCAGGAGTAATCGTACCCCTAGTGGTCCACACATGCATTCCAAGGGGATACATGAAATAATTTTATTTCAGGTGTCTTAATGAAAACAGAGTAAAACTAATAAAGTCAGTCTGACTATAATGCATGTTCTTTATTTTATTCCCAATTCATCAAGTTTAAATGTTATTACCCAAAGGAGCTCCAGTTTTATAAACACGTTTATGATCGGATTTTATTTTGTATTTATTTCGATTCCTTACTAACTTCCAGGCAAGATATTTATGTTTTTTTTTTTTTATTTGACATGGAAAGTATAAAATTATAAAATAAAAAAAAAGGATTAATTTCTGACAGGGGAATTTTATACATTTTTATAAAAAACATAAAATAGGATAAAAGACAAAAAATTTGATTAAGAAATAAAAAATAAAAAAAACTCCGTCCTTGAAGATTCAGTAAACTGTCGAATAGTAAAAAAAACCTTCTTTATCTCTCAGTTCTGCTTCTCACAGAGTCAGTGTGAAAATTGTCCTTATTTCAGTTATTGTACATTCTACTTTAGGACAATCATCAATACTTTTGACTGGGAGGGGAACTCTTGGTACAAAAAAAAAAATCAAAAAGGTACACACAGTAGTGGACTACCTTAAAAAGAAGGGGATGGGTTTTTTTTCTTTTTTTTTTTTTTTAAAGTATAAATAGCAAATTGAAACAGCTGAAATAATCAAAATCTGAAAAAACTGCTTGCAAATTCAAATACTTAGCCTGAAAATGAAATAGGCCTGTGTAAAATCTAATAATTTTACTCACCTTTACAATATTCATTTAGAGCAGGGGTGTCAAAGTGGTTCCAGAAAGGGCCATGTGGCTGCGGGTTTTCATTCCAACCAAGCAATTGCACACCAGCCTCCAGTCATCTCATCAACTAAGTTTAGTATTAACCTGATGACTTGACGATTGACTGGAGTCTGGTGTGCTATTGCTTGGTTGGAAAGAAAACCTGCAGCCACACGGCCTTTTCTGGAACCAGTTTGACACCTGTAATTTAGAGTATTTATTTTATAAAATAGACCGTTTTTTTTAGAACAGGTCCGCGGAACTATATTGACCGTTGATCGGATGACAGGTATTCTGCCAGTCACATAGGGACCTTTATGACCTCTGGCCAGATATTAACATCACATTTGACAGATTTAGCAGAATTAAGATAATAATCTTAACACGTGTTTTAAATTGCTTAATTAAAATGCACTTTTAAAACCTTCGATTCTCTCCTCCGGGTTTTATCTGTTGTGCCCAGAATTAAGCGCGCATCGCCCTGGACTTGCGCCCATTGATGAGAAAATGGATTGAAGTATGAATAAAAAGGGAAATTTTAAACATATTCTTAATGTTGTATTGAGACACGTTTCAGTTGATGTGCTTCAGTCGGTGTGTGATGAATAAATTCTCTGCTCAGTGGATGCCAATTCCCCATTTTCCTATCAACACCATTCTAGATCATTTTTGACACTTTATTTATTAAACTTAGAACCTGCTGAAGATTCCCTCCCCTCCTTATTTTCACATTCCCTCAAACCTGGTCAGAACACCGTCACCTGCTCCACTGGTTTCGCCACTGAGGTTGAAAATGAATCGTGTGTGCCCTCTGGGACACCGTAACTTTATCAGGCTAGTCATAAGCGCACAGCCTGCCAAATGTTAAAAGGGCAATATTATTGCCATTACTGTTAATATATAGTAGACATTTACACATTCAGTAATAAAATGTCACAGGGGATGGTATGGGGTTATGGTGTTTAAGAAGGAGGATTATTTATGTATCTATTTTATTTATTTATTTTTTGTTTTTATGGCATTAGTGGGTTGTTTTTTTTTTCAACAGTAGGCTGGTATGGGAGAGGGGGAGAGACATGTGAGAAGGACCAAGGGTACATGGGTTGTGTGTGCTAACCGCTGCGCCACCTGCACGCCCAGGGTGATGATTTTTACGATTTTTTTTAAGAAGGGGGATGCCATCCCCCCCTCATCCCCCCTCAACTAAGTACTGGGTACACAAGTCAAAAAAAAGTTTGGGAAACACTGGGCTAGACGAATCTGCTCTTAAACTTGGTGTTGTTTGGCCAGTAGACCTAAAGATGGAAATAATTGGATATTATTCTGGTGAATTCTTGATTAATTAGCTGACAAGCTGGGCTTTATCAATATAAACTTGGGATTGATTAGAACTAATAAACTAAATCAATAATGAAACTATTGGATTGGCACCTTAGAGCGTGGCCTTGTGTTATCTGCACTACAAAAGGGAATGCACCCATAATATGTCACTTTCTGTGTTTTAATTTTTATCTTCGAAAGAAAAACACTTTCTAACATTTTCCTTATTGCCCCCCCCCCCCCAAAAAAAAAGAAAAAAACAACAGGAAGCCAGGCAATATCTCATTTGCCCCACCCTCCCTAAGATCTTTTGAAGGTTCAGTTATTTGAATCTTTTTTTTCTTTCTTCCTCCTGCTGGGTTTCAGCTCCTGGTCAAGGACCCCAAGGAGCGGCTGGGTTGTCGGGGTTGCGGGGCCACGGAGGTCAAGCAGCACCCCATCTTCAGAAGCATAAACTTCAAACGGCTGGAGGCCAACATGCTGGACCCTCCCTTCATACCAGATGTAAGAGCGATGGACGCACACATGACACATGAGGCGCAGTCCCTATGCAGGAAATGCCATTGTCAGGAGGAAATGAGTTTATCATGGCAGACCGTGGCTGTGGTGTAATTTTAGTTTAACAGCTCGGTTTATATGAAATCCTCAGTAATCAGAGCAGTAGAGCATTTTGTTGTTGTTGAAATCTAGAATGTTGCTCTCTTTTTGATATGGATGGATCAAAACATTGTGTACAGTGGCTTTGATTGGAAAAATGTTGCCTCTGTCAACTGATAAAAGCATGTTTCAATTTAAAGACTTGCCACAGATTCTGAATTGGATTTAGGTCTGAACTTTAACTAGGCCATTTCAATAAATGGGTGTGATCTGCTTCATCCAGGGTATTTTCTCCTGTCTCTGCTGAAGAGCATCCCCACAGCATAATGCTGCCACCACTACGTTCTTAATGGAGGTCGGCATAACTAGTTGATATTTAGGTTGTTGCTGGTAGTTCACACACAACTTTACATTTCTGTCTCATCTAGCAAGGACAGCTCCCCAAACGTTTGCTGTCTCACATAGCTTGTAGTAAACAGATATCTTATGGTTTAGCTTTTACTTGTTACTTAAATGATCAGAAGATTTCAAAGATTGTGTAGTTCCTGGTCTCTTATGTCCTTTTCTCCTCCTGATGTCTCTCTGTCTCCCTCTCAGCCTCGAGCCGTCTACTGTAAAGACGTTCTGGACATCGAGCAGTTCTCTACTGTCAAAGGAGTGAACCTTGACCCTACCGATGATGACTTCTACTCTAAGTTTGTCACAGGCAGTGTCTCCATCCCGTGGCAGAACGAGGTACTGCACACTAAAGTGACGTCATTATCCAAGTTCCCCAGTAATGACCTCACACAGGAATGTCTGGTAGCTGCAGAACACCGAGTAATACCCGGAGTGTGGAAGTAAAGCCCATCTTTACAGATATGTTGAGGAGTTTGTTATCTTTGCTTCCAGATGATTGAGATGGAGTGCTTCAAAGAAATCAACATCTATGAGACCGATGGGATGCTGTGCTCAGACCTGGACGTGAATCGGCCCAACCCTCCTCCGAAGCGGGGGTTCTTCTACCGCCTGTTCAGAAGAGAGGCAAGTGCTAGTGCTCCGGCAACTGTCCGAGGGGGTGGGGGCTAAGGTACTTCCTCTTTTCCTGCTTTCTGGCTTCCTTTTTTTCCCAATCCCACAGGCGTTGTCCAAACTCAGCATGTGAAAGGACATTGCTTCACATGGAATCTGAGGGGTTTGTTAATACATTCCTGTGAGTTTGTAAGAAAAAGGCTTAGTCACTTTTCTTAGTAATTGTCTCTGGGGTTTCTAGATGCTACTTTAGATGCTTTCTAGTATTTCTAGCTTTATCACTCTGCTGGGAACTAGACCAGTAGAATACATGTTTAGAATGATGACTCTTGTTTGTCAGTGATCAACTTCTGCCTTGCCAAGTAATCATACCCTAACAACCTCTTCACATTGTGGCACATTGAAAGAACAAACTTTAGTAAACTTTGATCTTATTTTTTTCAGTGTGAAATGAAAGGAAAATGACTATATTTTATAACTATACTTTTTCAGCCATCTTTACTCTGATATCCCAAAATAAAATGCAGCAAATCCAACTCCCTTCACCTAACTAGTAAACAGAGTTCAGATGTGTGTAACTTAACCTTACGGAGCAGAGGTTCCCCAAATGTTCAGCTTCTGACCTGCAAACTCCTAAATAAGTCAACTCTAGACCCAAACTATTGGTGTGCAAATGTTTCTACAAAACCAATTAACATCAGGTGTAAAAATATTAGAGGCAAAACCACCAAATGTAGTTGGTTTATCCTTTCATCAATGATAATTCTGTAATTCTTTTTAAAATATCAATGTGTTAAAGAACATTGGTCAACAAACGGCATCAAGAAAACCAAGGAACACAGCAGAAAGGTCAAGGTTGAAGTTATACAGAGGTTTAAAGATTAGGGCACAATTGTAAACCTACCAATAGTCCAAACTGACAGGAAGAGAAAAAGACTAAGAGGTGGGACCCATGCAAATGTGGAAAAGGTTATGTGCCTACCATAGTATAGCAGAAACTAGACCTCGACGATGAACGGTGATGGCAGCATCATTCTGTGGGGTTGTTGTTCTATAGCGAATGCTGGTGTGGGAGGATTACCTTGAAGCATTACAGGGCCCATATTTATATATATGTTTATAGCCAGAGCTGAGCTAGTCTAGAGCAAAGCATAATGGTTAGAGTGACCACATGTACACATTATGGATCGAACTTTGAGTTCTACCTTTACAGATGCTTTCCATCCAATTTGACTGAACTTGAGCCATTTAGCTGAGAAGAAGAATGGGCTGAAATATCAGTCTGTAGATGGAAAAAGTAGACACACATTGTAGATTCATTTTTCAGTTTTTATTTGTAGAAACTTTGAAAACAATGTATTATTTCTTTTCCCTCCACAATCATCTAATTCCATGTTGGTCTGTCAATTCAATTCAGTTTATTTTTATAGCGCCAATTCACAACACGCTTCATCTCAAGGCACTTTACAACTCATCCAGATCATACAGGTCAGATTAGTTCAAAGTTTTCTATCTAAGGAAAACCAGTTGATTGCATTGACTCATTGATTTGAAGGCAATCCCTCACACCAAGCATGCTCGTAGCAACAGTGGAGAGGAAAAACTCCCTTTTAACAGCAGAGCCAGGCTCAGTGTGAGCAGCCATCTGCTAAGGAAGACTGGGGTTGAAGGAGACAGAAGCAGACATACCCCCACCCCCATACAGGGGACCAGAACATCTCACCTGTTCAGCCAGGCCAACAATCCCCCCTTACGGCCCCTCTTTCAGAGACATAGACCAGTATCGGGCATTACGGGCTATCAAAGAACCCAAATGACTGCTCATTCCTAAGGGACGGACCCATTGGTCCGGTTCAGTTTGCATGTTTTCTGAACCAAAACAAGGCTTTGTTTTTGGTCCACTATATAAAGCCTTGAACTCATCGCTTTTTCTGATAATTGGAATTGAAAAAGATTGGGAAGCGAAATGTCTTCAAACTTGGAAACAAAGTCCAGTGTTTTTTTTGGGAAGCAGGCATATAGAAAGAAGCACATAAGATTATAAAAAAATGCAACTTGACAAACGGGGACACTGTTTAAGGTGAATGAATAATTTTGCTAAGAAAATACTTTTATTAAGTTTTGCCTTCTTTTCTAAACTAATGAACCATCTCTGACTCCCTTCCTCCTGTTTATTAACACCTAAGGGTTTGCCTTATGGTTTCCTCTCTGTTGTTCAAAATGTCAGTGCCAATTCTTTTTCTACATCCTTTTAAGCAACACATTATCCTTTCTATAAAACAATCCCATTACCTGCTCTTTGTATGGAGTTTGGATGGAAACCTTGTTTCATAGGAAACTAGCAATCATCTCCCGTCCATGTTCGAGTTTGGTGATAAAACTGTTAGTCACGGTGCATGGTGGGCTTGTTTTTGGCTGTTCCCAGGTCTGTCTAAAGAGCGGTTACAGTGACGAAGAGACTGAAGAGCCCTCACGACTTTAAACCACTCCGTCCCCTTCGCCCACGCCCCTCTGCCGCAGAGCTTCACCACAACCTCCAACCGAGCGCGAGAATCTTAGGAACTCAGTGAATGTCAACCTGTATTTATGAGCTGTATTAAAAGTGTATTATAGCTAAAGAAAAAAAAAAGTATGACTTTAAAGATTTTGTACATTTGTACTTGAATTTATGTCTAGATGTATATTTTCACTAAAGGTTGTATTGTACAAAAAGCCATAAAAGTACCACTTGAATGCATACATTGCCTTTTTATTTTCTTTTGATTTTATGGATAATGTTCATTAGGTGTGTATTGTTTTTTTTTTTCTTTTCTGAAGAACAGAACCATTAGTCTTTTTATTTTTCACAATGTAGCATAAGGCCTTTTTTAATGTACTGTGCTGTATGTTTGCCATTAACTTGGATTTTTTTTTTTTTGCGCATTAGCTCCACTTTTTTTTACTAAGCTAACTCTTAGCCGCTATAAATTGATCTCAATCTAAACCCAAGAATTAGAGTTGGAACTGAATCTAGTTTTGTTTTTATTTTTTCACCATTAAAGCCCCGATGCTTGATCTGTTTTGCAAAGAGCCGTGGGTCATTTGAAAACATGGGAACTAGATGGACGTGTGCAGCACCGTGCCCGGGTGTCTCAGACACAGCTTGTATTTACTGTATGTGTTTATGTCTGGAAATCTGCGCATCAGTGAAACGCAGAGCAAACGCCTAATTCCACAAACTCTTAAAAATCATAGTTTTTGTGATGCACATGCCTTTTTAACAGGAATACACCTGCTAGTTACATATCTGTTACTTTGTTTTTTTGCCCCCTCCCCTTTTTATTTAAATTCTAACTTTTCTCATCCTTTTCTTTTCAAATGAATCAAAGTGGAAACACTTTTCATAAAAATCTTAGTAATTTGCTGCCCTTTAGTTTTGGAATACCAGAAAGCCTCCAAGTTTCATTTGTAAAAACCTTAAAGAAAACGTGTTTAGTTCTGCTGCTAGTTTCATTTATAGCTCAAAGAAAGATTTTGATTAAAAGTATTTTTGATTTTTTGACGTCTTTGATTCATACTGTAAGTCAGTGCTTTAAGTGTTAGTGATTAAGCATTTTGCTCGTTGTTGATAGCACAATACTTTACATTTGCTGCATATCACTCAAGACTGTTTGTAACGAAGATATCATCATTTAAGTGAACTAATCCCAAGTTAAACAGTTCTTCCCTTATCATGTGCTTCTCAACCGAGGGATATAATAAGTGTTAAAATATTTTTCTCATTAAATCTACTTCTAATGGGGCTATATTAAAATTCACAATTATGATGCATGGATCGCATAGATAGGATTCTGAATCCAACTCTAAATTTTTTGCACTCTGATGGTCACTGATTTCTGAAGATGAATTCATGTTGAATCAGAAGCTTTGGCTCTCTGTCCTGCAGAGAACTGCAGCCTTCAGAATTTCTTTTTAGGTGCTTTTTCTGCATATATTCTTTTTATATTATATAAAGGCTCGCGGGGAAATATGCTGAAGTATGGTCCTTGACCACAATTTCTCCCATTTCAACCATCTCAATTGTTGCATTTTAAGGTGAGTGCTAATGTTAGTTCCATCTCATCAGACTCCTTTCTCCTGAAACTGCAATTTAACTGCAAACTTTCTTCAGCAGTAGAGTCTGACAGAGAGCGTGTTGTCGAGTTTAGTGCCTATTGTTTGAGTGGAAAATCTTCCTGATTATTCCAGGTTTATCAGAAGCTCTCAGCCAGGGATTCTTGTTTTTGGAAAACTTCAGATCTTTGTCAGAAATCTTGCAAAGAGAACCTGTTTTAGTGAAATATTGATCCCCCCTTCTTCTGGAAATTGGGCCGACGCATTATTCATTGAAAGGTTTGAAAGTCTGGGTGTTTTGCAAAGCACTCATCGGGCTGTTTTATTTAAACCTTAATTAACCGTTTGTGCAAAACAGTCATGAAAAATCTAAACCACCTGATATTATTTTGCAGGATTTCTTTCTTCATTTTCTGATTTGATTGATTTATGTTTAAATTATTTGACTTGTTACCAGACTCTAACAATGCCATTAACCCCATTAGAAATGGATTTACTAGATCAATAATTTGGACTTTATTCCTCCCCCTTCATTTGAACAACTTGAGAAGCTAACCAATTGAAAGATTTTTTCCTCCCTTACGCTTCCTTTTATTTTCATTAGATTTTGCCTTAGAGGTGGATGCTATTTAACCCCTCCTCCCTCTCTTCAGAAAAACATCTGTTTTAATGCTGTGAATACCCTCACCTCAACATGATGGCTGCACGCATGTGTATATTTCACGGTTCTCTAATGCAGCTTTGCTCAACTTTGTGAATTAGACTTCATTAGCTCTACTTCTGTACAGCTCAGCAACTTTAAAGAGAAATTAGAATTCTTGTGAAAGCAGTCTGTATTCAGTCAGTGCAGTATGTCGAAATGATTTTTGATCTTGAACATCTCCAAAGTCCCATCCAGATTTCAAGGCATTTAGTCCCCAGTTTGATCAAGCAATGTGTCTCAAATATGTCCATTTTCTTTCTTTTTTATCTAAAAATCAGATATGAGCATCCTGTAGTTTTCTGCTTACTATTACCTGTATTTGTGTTTTGGTTTTCTTTTTTTTTATATGCACATTTTGAAGCTTGTTTCATTTGTGTAGATTACAGATTTTAGCCTCCAAACAAATTTGTAAATTCTTTATTGCTAACGTGTAACTAAAGCTCCAAGGGGGAAAACGTCACTGCTTCCGTCACTCATGCCTGTTTTTGCTCCTAAGGCATTTCCTTCAGTCCATAAAGGAGTGAAGACGCTCCGCCCGATCCATTGCACTATACTATATGTTTTGACAATGACTTTTGGAAGTGTCTTTAATCGATAATGATACCAAAATCAACTCTCTCCAGATTAACATTTTTTTTTTTTTTAAACAAAAAAATGTTTTCCAGGATAAACCAACAGCCTTTATTAAATGTGCCAATTACCAAGTTAGTTTCCGATATCCTGCCTTCTTAGTTTGACCTCATTGACTTCCCAGCCACTGAAATATCTTCATTCACATATTGAAAAAAAATCATTAAAAACTAACCTAAGTTAAACTGTTTTGAATGTCCGCACTAAGTGCATTGTAATGCCTGTTTTTAAAAAGAAGACATAAGTTTTATTACTCAAGCATGTAACAATTTGTATTACTTCAGGATCCTTACATATGTAAATGATGACACTCTTGTGCCAACAAATCTCGCTGGTTATCAGAGAACGACTTTGTAAATGGTGGGGGTGACCGGCGCAGTTGGCCTGCTTTGGATAACAGATGTTCTGGGTTTTTTCCGTACCTTTCCATCAGAGCGCTGATGTTTGTGTCAAAACTGGAACGGGACTCGCCGGCAAACGCCTAGAAAGTGGGGAAATCACTTGAATTAGTGTATAGGTAACATACCTGTAAAAATACAGATCTGCTAAATTCTCTGTGGGGAAAAGAAACATGGGTAAATCTCTATATCTACAGTGAAAATAGGGTGAACAAATGTGTTTTTTTTGGGGGGTATTCAAACAGGGAGTTGATTTTTATCTTTTATTTTTCATGTTCATTCTGTACAGTCATGCCATTCAACCACTGCAGTCATTGTTAATTCTTGTACAAGTTGTATCACTGGTTGTTGTACCATACCTGACATTTGTAATTAAGAAATAATACACTGCCATTTGTATTAAAAGGAGGTGTCCTGACGTGTTTTTCTTTCGTTAATTTGTGTTTGGGAATGAAAGGCAAAGGAGGAAAAACATTTTCTTGAATGTTGCAGAGCCAACAGAAACAAAACATATATTAAACCTGTGAGGTGGGTCACTTTAAGGTGTGCAAAAGGAATAGCAAATAAATGTTTGAGCTAAAGACACAAAGCAGCCCACTGCAGCAATGGTGAAAACCAATAAACCAACAATTCCGGCGATTACATTGCTAAATATGACTGAAATTGCTCAAACTAGGTTGAAGTCCGTAGACCTCATTGCATAATTTGGAATTGATAGAAGCATTTCTCATTGATTTTCATTTCTTTCTACATTGTAGATATAATGGAGAATATATCAAAGCAAATAGGCAAAAGTACGGAGAATTCTGTAGAAAATAAAGAAAAAAATTAGAAACCCAGCATATCTTTATTAATTCCAGATACCTGCCTTTGATTTGAGGACTACTTGAACAGCCCTGGTGTCCTTTCCTTAGCGGGTAGTCATCTGAAATAGGTTTCCAACAATTATAGGTAGTTTGTCATAACATTCTTATTTATATATATGTCATGTTATTTACACAAAATCTATCATATAAAAGATGGACCAGTCTGCACGAATGAAGAAGCTGAAACAATAGGTAATAAAAATAAAAACAGTAGATGGCAACAAAAGGCTTTCACTTTGCTCCTTGGTATGTGTGAATTGAAACATATATTCAAAGGTGTTACAGTAACAGATTTTAGGTTGGTCTCCAGGATGCAGCTTATAGATCTCTCTCCATTCTGTTATGGCAAAAGAGTGTCTGGGATCCCAATAACCATAAAAAAATACCAACTGGTTACATACTGGGTGGTAATGGAGTTGCTGTCTGCAGTTAAGCCCGTTCATGATGACTTTGTGGGTGCTAACTACAACGCTCCTGTACCAAAATGGAAACTTTCAAGCACAGCTGAAATTCACAGTTTTTTTTATGAATAAAATGGGGTCAGAATAAAGGAAGTTAGCTTAAAAGTAATATGTTTGGATCAGTCAGGTGAATGTTTCAGACCCCAAAGCACCATATCAACAGATTGGCATGGAGGTGGTAGCATCATATTGAGTCCCTGTTTCTTATGTATAGTAAAGAAACTTCAATTAAGATCAACAGCTAGACTATTCAAAAAAAAAAAAATGTTAAAAGTCAGGTCTGTAGAGGAATTAACCCATTCAAATTTCCTATTGTGTAATATGTTTATATAATTTCCATAGTCATACCATTATTGTCTGCAAAATCACCACTGGTTTGGTTCCAACTTGATGAGAGATCTGTTTAAATGTAATTGATGGGCGTATCTAAGACTATAATTCTGAGCTTTGTATGCATTGAGAAAATAATAAAATTAAAACTCAACACTATTTCTACAATTCCTCAAGGTTTTTTTTTTAGGATCTCAATTTTTTTGGTGTATGTAAACGTTTGAGTGCTTTAATTGCATTTCTTAGGAGTATCTCTATAGTGAAATATATTCACTTAAAAAAACTAATATGCGTGACTCAGAAAAATCACAGTTCTAGTTTTGCGAAACAACCCTCTGATTTTAACGGTCCCGTGACAGCAACAATAACAACATGAGGGAAAGCAGCTCAGTAGCTCATTGGCTCTCTAATCAATCATGTAAGGCATAGCCGCGCTCTGATTGGTCTACGACCATTAAGTCCCGCCCCTCCTCTGCAAGCTGTCACCACTTCCTGGTGTGACTGCTGGGAAGAACGCAGTCCTGCATCAAAGATGGCAAATTCTCAACACACATTTGGTTCTTTTATGGTTAAAATCTTGGACTAATAATCAACAATTGGTCAGAAGAGAAAGTTGAAGGCGGGTGGTTGCTGTCGTCGCGCTACACACCTCCTGCTCTCTGAGCGCTAATTTGTCCCACCATAGTGCTAGCTGGTTAGCGCAAATAGTAAATATTAGCTTCTCGGGCGAGCTTGCTCATTGTGGATTGCTAAAATGGCCACAATGGAGAAGCTAATGAAGGCTTTTGAGTCTCTGAAGACTTTTCAGCAGCAGCAGGGACCACCGACTGCAGAGGAGCTCGTTCAGAAACAGTAAGTGTTTGATTTTGAAGCTAATCACTGACACCACTGGCTCCAGTTAGCTTAGCCCGCTAGCGACGTCACTCTTTCCATCTAAATAGTTCAGATTTACAACACAGCACCGACTACCCGTATACATTGTTTAATTGGATATACTTTTTCTGGTACATTTTTTTGTAGTTTTAGGGGAACTTGTTATTTTCATGGTATAATAAGCACATGTGTTATTTGGCTAACGCTTAAGCCGATTCCCTGACCCTCAGGCACCTGTGAGGGGCCACAAGGATCAATTTGAAGCATCTGGTGCTTTAAACTATAGGAATATTTTGGTTTTCTTGCTGAAAGTGAGTGAAAATCTTCATATTACACCTGTAGATCTACGGAGCTTCATAAAATGGGGCAGGTTCATTCATTGCGATGATTATTTTCTTCTCATCTTCTGTTGAACACATCTTAAAAGGATACTTTGATAACAATGTTAGTCATTTTTAAAGAGATCTACACTTTAGAGCACTGTACCCTGATGCAGTGTGCAGATGAGGTTTACAGCTAGTTCTCTGCTTTTTTAATGGATTTTTTTTTTTACAGATACACAAGTATTTATTCAGAAATGTAGGAGCCTAAATTACAGCTATAAAAAATTTCTGGATATCTGAAAATCACGAACTCTCAGAGATTTTATTGCATAATGTTAAAAACCTTCTCTGTCTGCTTTTGTTGACTCTTTTTCTGCTACTTTTACAGGAAAAAGGAGCAAGCAGCAACAAAAAAGGACCGAGTGACCCACTGCCTAACCATATGTGAAAACATTGTGGCTCAGTCATTAAGGTAGGCCCCCATAACGGAACCTAAATACATCCTAGTTGGTAGAATCTCTTATTTTCTTCTGAGCAGGAAATCTTACAACAGGTTTCTCAGAACTAATGTCGTTAGATTAAAGGATAAAATACACCAGACACATCAGAGAAAAAGGCGCAGCTAAGCAGCATGCTGGTTTTGTTTTGATCTGTCAAGGTAATACACTAGAACAGAGGTCTTCAACAAGGGGTCTATGGAGGTACTGCATGGGGGTCACAAAAGTTTTGGTTGATTAGACTTTTTTTTTTTTTTTATATTTCCACCCTGCAAATTTTTCCACTAATTGAAATGTTTTTAAATCCACATTAGGATGAATTCAACACACTGTAGTAATCAGATAAATGGAGGCAGAAGATATCTTTCAGTCATAGTCAGTGACACACAGGGGCTCTTTCAAGCTGGGCACCGTTTCATTCACAACACCTGTTCCATCAACCAGGAATCAGAATCAGAGAGGCTTTAATAAACCCAGAGCGAAATTACTTTGGTTACTTTACTCCATCTGTAATAGACTGACAATAGGAGCAGTTTGATATAACACAAATTCATACCATATATATTAGGGGTGGAACGGTTCACAAAATCCACGGTTCGGTTCGGTTCACGGTTTCGTGGTCACGGTTTTCGGTTTGATATATGTTGATTGTTAGCCTGACAGGTTGGTCGTGTTGCTATTAGCATAAACAAAACGTGTTGCACAATGCTTGCACACTGTTTTTAACCACAACTTTCTTTCTGCCGTCATCGTAGGTCACTCTAAATGCAAATTGGTCCCATACAGCAGACCTATAAAGTGCTGCTGGTGCGTCTTCCAACTCCTGTTCTTTCCCACTTGCCATACCCACACAATTTTCCACAACAACATATTTTTTTCTGCTACACCCGGCTATGTTGCTTCGCTTCTTCTTCTTGTTTACAACTGGTGGTTGGCCTTGGTTGCAGTACCGCCACCTTCTGCTCTGGAGTGTACACGCTTTGCCTATGAGAAAAAGGAGCAGCTCATGAACCGAACGCAACACACGAGAATCAAACGGAACGGTTCGGACGGTTTACATAAACCATTCCATCCCTAATATATATATAATTAGGGGGTCCCCGCCGCGTCTCGCCATCAGGTTAGGAGTCCTTGGCCTTGAAAACGTTACAGACCCCTGCACTACAACATAATATGTGCATTCAGGATGCATATTTATTGCAGGTTGCATCTTAGGCCAATGATCTAATTTCAGACTCTTGTGTAGCAAAGAACAAACAGGAAAATGACATCAAGTATCAAATCAATTAGTAGTTGTTGGTAGTTTTGACAATCTAACAAGCTAACAAACTACAATTTGCTATTTCTAATCAGACGGTCAAGACACAGAGTGGATCAAAACATTGGCTCTATATCTGGTAATTTAATAAATTGCCTATGATAGAGGTATCGATGTCCAGATACCTCCTGTACCAGACTTCCCCCTAGCTCTTATAACTATTGGGACTCGCTAACCTTAATCTGTCATGATTGATTTGAGACGCCAAATTAGTTTTTGAAGAGCAATCGGTGAAAAAAAGTTGTAATATAAAGTCTTTAAAAAAAAACAAAAAGAAAAACAAATTGAACAGTTAAATTAACTGATATACATGACAAAGACAGGCTAAAATGTCTGATTCATATTACCAGTTATGAGTGAAAGGAATGGAAGCAGCTTCTAATAATCACTGTCAGTTAACTTGTTCTAGTCTTCAGTGTTGATTCCTCATTGTTTGTTTCCTTGGACCTGTAAACAGAACATCCCCAGAGTTTCAGAAACTGCTCGGGATCGCCATGGAGATGTTTCTTCTCTGCAGTGATGACAGTGAATCAGATGTCCGTATGGTGGCTGATGAGTGCCTGAATAAAATCATCAAAGTGAGTATTATTTAGTTATCTGTCAGTGCTCCCTTAAAAAGGTCATATTAGGCAAATTCCAACTTATTGCTGTGAGATATATATATATATATATATATATATATATATATATATATATAAAGATTTGGGCGGAATATT